GAAATGCATGCAGAACATTTACCAAGGCAAACAACATTTCAGGCCTTAAAATGCATCTCGATAAATTTAAAAGTGTTCAAGTCATGCAAAATATGTTTTTGTTTTTTCAATTGGGGAATTGGGGGAGGGGAACAGTGTTGGGGAATTGCAGAGGGGGACCAGCCAATTGTTGTTCTTCAATCTTAGTTGTGGAGGGTGCCAGTTGTGGCCTCTAACCTTAAGGTGCTGTTACAATCTTAGTTGTGGGTGGGCATAGCCACCATCCCATGCAGGACTCGAACCCGGCAGCCTTGTTAGGAGCACCTGTTCTATCCACTGAGCCATCCGGGCAGCAGCTCAGCTCAAGGTACAGAGTTCAGTCTTAGTTGCTGGTGGGCGTAGCCAACCATCAAACAGGCAGTCTTCTTGTCAGGAGCACGTGCTCTCATCAGCTGAGCCATCCTACCACTTGTTGGCAGCTCAGTGGCAGCTCAGCTCAGACTGGCCCATGTGGAAATCGAACCTGCAGCCCTGTTGGTCAGAGCTCATGCTCTTAAGCTAACTCTTAACCAAGTGAGTCACTTGGCTGGTCACCAAAATATGGTTTTTTTGTTTGTTTGTTTTTGGTTTTGGTTTTTAAGATTTTTTTTTTATTGGGGAATTGGGGAAGGGGAACAGACAAGTTGCTGTTGTTTTGTTCTTCAGTCTAGTTGTGGAGGACGTTGCTTCACTGGCCCAAGTTGGCACCATCATTGCGCTCTTCCCAGGCGAGGCAGATCAGTCGCCAGCTTCTGGACAGCCGCTCACTGTGGCTGCTGGCCGCTCACACTACTGCTGGCTACATACAGTAGCCCATGGCAACCCACTGCCACAGGGGCTGCAGCCTACGCCGTCGCTGGCGACTCATGGCAGCCCAGCTCCAGGTTGAGCTGTTGTTCAGCATCTTAGCTGTGGAGGGCAGCGCCACTGGCCCTCATATGTGGGATCTGAACTAGGGCCCTCTGGCGTCCCAAGCCAGTTCTTAACCATCGCGCTGCTCGGCCAGTCCCAAAATATGTTTTTTTACCAGAATGGATTAAATTAGAAATTAGTAACAGAAAAATAATGGGAAAATCCCCAAATATTTGGATCTAAATAGCCCAATTTTTAGTAACCCATGGGTCAAAAGAGAAACCAAAAGGGAAAACAGAAAGTATTTGAGTTGAACATAGTGTATCAAAATGTTTAACACTGTACTTAGAAGGAAACATAATAGCACTAAATGCCTAAGTTATAAAAGAAAGCTCTCAAGTCAATGACTTAAATTTCCACCTTAACTAATCAGAACATGAAGAGCAATGAAACCCCAAGTTAGTATAAGGGTGGAAATAATAAAGATAATAAAAATCGATCTTGGATTTTTTAATGTTTTTACAGAACTGACATGACAATCTTAAATGAAAAATGAACTGTTCTGTTATCCTGCATGCATGATCACCCTTCACAAATCTGGTTGTTGTTTTCTCAGTTGTGGTCAAAGTTAAAGTGACCTAACCCATGTGGTCATATATTCAACTAAGTTGTCTTAACAAGATATGGGTGTTTTCAAAAATAGATCTTGCAGAAGGAAAACTTATATGGAAAAAGTTCAATTGTGTACAACTCATTTACAAAAGAAGAACTCTGGTTTTCTTACATATTTTGCACAAGCTGGAAAGAGACTGAAAGCTATTGTGGTGAACAGCTGATAGAAGAGCCTGGTACATAAATCCAGGGTTTCCCCATATCTTAGTAAGTTCGGGATGCCATAACAAAATATTAATACCAAGGGACTGGATGAATTCAACAAAAGAAATTTCTCTCTCCTAGTTCTGGAGGCTGAAGGTCCAACATCAATGTGGCAGCATGGTTGGATACTGGTGAGGGCTAGCTAGCTTCCTGACTGTAAACACTGCCTTCTTGCTGTGACTTGACAGGGCACAGAGAGAGCGCAAATCTCTCTGGTGTCCTTTCTTTGAAAGATATTAATGCTATCATGACAGCCCCACCCTCATGACCTCATCTAATTACTTCTCAAAGGTCCCATTTCCAAATACCATCATATTGGGAGTTAGGACTTCAACACATGAATTGGGGGGTGGGGATGGGGACACACATTCAGTCCATGAGACCCCATTCTCAACCAATTACTTATTACACACCAGTGTTCTTACATGAAAATACCAATGTTTATTCATATAGACAAATTTATTTCCAAATAAAACAACAAATAGTTTCTCCCTGCTTTGAAGTTCCTCATTCTTCAGTACATCCTGTTTTTCCCATTAGCCTGTCAGGCTTGTTATATTTTTCACATCACGAAGGTCATATATCCATAAAGACAGTGGGGTAAATGTCCATTTTCTCCACATAATGATGAGTGCTTTCTTCATCCACTTAAAGATTCACTCTTTTATTCTGATAAAGGCAAATTGGCACTTTAAGAAAACTGACCCAGGAGCTCAGACATCTATGGATGGAGCTGGGCTTCCTGTTTCTCCCTAGTCCTGACTTCCGGTTAAACTTCGTGGTTCCTAACTTCCTGCAGGGGTGGTGGTGAGGGGTGTGTGTGTGTGTGGGGGGGTGGTATATATAGGAGCCATCTTGACATAGGGCTTTTTCTGCACGTGGCCAGCTGGCTGGAGGTACGCGTTCTCACACTGCTGTGGTAGTTTTGCTTGTTCCTTTCCCCAAATAAACCCTTTTTGGTGGATTACCTGAAAATTTACTTTATCATGTCGACATTTTGGGGGTCTCATCCAGGATCCAGAGAAGAATGAACTCTGGTGGCTTCTGAACGTTGAGCAAACCGGCTTTGGTACCTCATGGCACCATTTTGGCTCAATGCTTTTTTTGCTCCCCTTAGAGATCTCAGGTGAGTTCTCTCCTGAATCTGAGCCAATGCCTGTGCATCGGACGCTCTCCAGGCTTTATTTGGGAATTGTTTTTTAAAATGTGTGTGTGTGTGTGTGTGAGTTAAAGGCCTATTTGTCTATGTTGTGGCATGTCAGCTTTAATTTTTTAGAAAGCAAGCAGTCCTTTGAGACAAAAATTGGACTTCACCTAAAGTCCCCTTGGTGATAGAGGTTATTTTTACTGAAACTGGTCAGTTTGAACAGGTATTAGACTGTGCTATCTCATTCAGAAACTGAGAAGAGTGCCACTCAGGTCAGCCTATAACTCCCTGAGAGTTGGTTATTTCCCTGAACTGGCTTCAAGCTTCCAGTCTGATTCTCAGTGATCAAACTGTTCGAGTGAGGTGAGTGCAGGTTGCTCAAGTTGTGAGCTGTTTGGGGTATTAAAAATGAGATCTCCGCTGTCTAAGCCTTCTAAAACTGTCCCTCCAACAGGGACATCAGCCAAGTATATGTTTAAAACCCGCAGGGAATTTTCGTGCACGTATTTAACCAAATGGACAGATCTGAGTGATTTAGAAAGCCAATGGTCACTTCGGGGAACTTTTGATATTCCCAAACTTGATTTTCTTAAAACTAAATTGGGTAATAACAGCGCTGTAATTAAGAAAGAGGAATGGAATGCCCATTTTGAGTGGTATATTGAGGCTTCCAAACAATGCTATGAATCTAAAGTTACCCAATTACAAAATAAAGTCTCAGTTAACAAGGGCTGCTAAAAATTTAGAGACAGAATGGCACCTGAAACCTCATGCTCTTCCTTTACAGCACTGCCTTGCCCTTCCCCCACTGCTCCTTTGTCTCAAGCTCCTCCTCCAACGCCATCTTGTCCCTCATTGCTGCCTCCTACGCTTTCAGCTAGTCCCTAGCGAGCACCTTCTCTTGAATCCTCTCCTTTTTCTCCTTCCTCGGAACTTATCAGTACTTTCCCATTTAAGATTAAACCCTCTGGAGATCCTAATAAACCCCACATCTCCTATGTCCCCTGGACTAAAGCTGAATTAAATGAGCTATTGTGAAGGAATGCCCTAAAGTAACTGAGGACTCTGGTAAGTTTGCTGAGGCATTTGATAGGACTATTCAGGCTCATCAGCCTGGGTTTTCAATTTGCACCAGCTAATCAATGTTAGTTGGTAAAGGCCAAGCTCAACATTGGATGAGGATTGCCAGATGGTGACATCCAGATTGAGATTGAAAAAAGCAAACCTCCAATTGGGAGGAAGTCAGGGCATTTGTTCGAAAACTACGTTGAGCAATTCCTAAGGCCTTCTCAAGGTCTATTGATTGGAGCAAAATTCAGACTTGCTCACAAAGGCCAAACGAATCTGTTCATGACTGTTTTTATAGGTTTCAGGTAGTTTTTAAGAAAAATTCTGGTCTTCCTTCAGATGTTGACATCACACGTGTAACCTTTAATTCTTTGCTTGTCAATAGGCTAAATAAAAACCTTTTCCTCCTGGTTAGGAGATCCAGGATGGAATGGGGAATTATGCCTACCCTAGACTTGGTAAATTTGGTCATTGAGCTTGCCAGTACCTTAGATGAGCCACCTAGAAATAAGATTGCCAAGACTTTTGACTTTCAGCCATGGCAAATGAAAGGCCTTATGCGAAACCAAAGAACTCCAACTTTTTGCCACTACTGCAAGGACACTGGAGCAAGGACACTGGAAAAGGGGTTGCCATAAGTTTAAGCATACGACATGCTCTCTGCCTTCTAACCAGTCCTTTTCAGGTCTTCCCAATTCCCAATGATAGGGCTCCAAGGAACTACAGGGGCTTTTTCCATAATCATCTTAGAGAAACTTTTCTTCAAATTGGGAATGAAACTACCGTATTTCCCCATGTATAAGACACTCTCATGTATAAGACGCACCTTAATTTTGGGGCCCGAAATTTGAAAAAAAAATATATTACATAAAGTTATTGAACTCGTTTTATTCATCATAAAATTCATACAACTCATCACTGTCAAAACTCCCAACCATTAGCTTGTCCTCATCTGTGTCTGATGACGAATCAGTCTTCATATATTGCTTCATCCTCAGTTCCATCTATGACATTTGAAATCTACAACCACTATATAAGACGCACCTAGTTTTTAGACCCCAAATTTTTCAAAAAAAAGTGCATCTTATACATGGGGAAATACGGTACTTCTGTTCAAATTGACACCAGTGCTACACTCTTGGTGCTCAACTCCACAGTTATAAACTGGTCCCTGCCTCAGAGTAATGAGACATTTCATATAGTGGGGATTTCAAATAAAAAAATAGTGGGGTTTATCCGAACCTATTCCCTTTCATCTAGGCCCCTTAAGAGATAAACACTGTTTTCTTCCCTTCTGTCCCTACCCATTTATTAGACAGAGACTTCTTAGAGAAGTATGCCTGACTATCCTTTTCTCAAAAGGGAGAAATAGAGTTTGATGGTAACCATCAGAATCACCAATCACGTGAATTGCATGACTTCAGCATCTTTTGTGCTGTCTCTGATGGTACAGTAACTGAATCTGAAAGCACTGATAGATGGTCCCTATTGGACCAACTACCATCATTTTTATGGGTAAAATCTTCAACTAATATTGGTAGAATTTACAGTGCACCTTCTGTCAAGGTTCAAATTGATCCTTCAAAACCTCTGCCTAGAATTAATATCCTATAAGTAAGGAGGCCTTCCAAGGTATAAAGCCCATAATACAAGATTACATAACTCAGGGTCTTATTATTCCTTGCACTAGTCCTTGTAACACTCCTAGTCTACCTGTGAGAAAGCCAAAGGGATGAGGATGAAGGTTTGTCCAGGATCTCCGAGCAATAAACCACATTGTTATCCCTAGACACTCTGCCATTCCTGACCCTCATACACTGCTGGCATCCATTCCAACTGGAAGTAAATTCTTTTCAGTAATTGATTTATACCGTGCATTCTTTAGCATCCCAGTTGATGAAGCTGGCCAATACCTTTTTGCTTTCACTTGGGAAGGAAAGCAATTTACCTGGACAGTAATGTCTCAGGGATTTACTGACAGCCTTTCTTATTTTGCAAATTCTGAAGACTGATTTGGACAATGTTTTCCCTAAAGGTTCCACCTTGTTACAATATGTGGATGATTTACTTTTGCTTTCCTCAGGTTTCCTCACAGGATGATAGCATCCATCTGTTGACACTTTGGGGACATAAGGTCTCTAAAGAAAAATTACAATTTGCTGAAACTCAGGTTCGATACTTGGGACATCTGAACAAGGTCTACAACTAGATACAGACAGGCTCCATGTTGTCCTAAGTTTCCCAAGGCCCTAAACTTAGCACCAATTGTGAGCTTTCTTGGACTAGTCGGCTATTGCTGGAAATGGATCCCAAAACTCTCTTATGGCAAAACCTCTATGTGTCCTATTAAGGAATGACAGTCCTGATCCGATTTCATGCGAAGAACAGGATGACATGGTCTTTCAGGCCTTGAAGGAGAGTTTCATAAACCCGCCTTCTCTTGGGCATCCTAACTGCCAGATTCCCTTCTTCTTTTTTGTGCATGAAAAGGAAGGAAATGCCCTTGGGGTGCTTACTCAAAAACATGGAGACCAATATAGATCCCAAGGATACTACAGCCCTTGGAATGAACCTGAGGCTTAGGGATACTTCCCTTTCCTCAGAGCTGTTGCTGCTACTGCCCTCCTGGTTAAGGTCACAGAGAAAATTGTTGTGAGATCCCCTCTAACCATCTTTGTGCCTCATGTAGTAGAAACTCTCCTGAGTTTTCAGTACACCCAGTGTGATCTTACTTCCTAGAAATCCTTGTTAACTGCTTCCATTTAACCCTTTAACATTGTAATATCCTTAATCTAGCTACTTTTCTCCATTCTGAGACTCAGGAAGCCCCTCATGACTGATACTGACAGATCACCTCCTGACTCCTCATGATGACTTACAGACGACTCCTCTAGGTGAAGCAGATCTTTCATGGAATACAGATGGTCTATACTTAAAAAAGGACAATGGTATCGTGGTGGTTATGCTGTTGTAGTCCCTTCTGAAGTCATCGAGGCAGTGCCTTTGTCTCTGGCCACTTCAGCACAGCAGGCTGCATTATATGCCCTTACTCGAGCTTGCATTTTAGCAAAGGGTAACACTGTCAACATTTATATTGACAATAGGTATGCTTTTGAGGTGGCTCACGACTTTGGAAGGCTATGGAAACATTGTGGTTTCCTTAACTCCAATGGAGATAAAATTAAAAATAGTCCATATGCATGGGAATTATTGGATGCTATGGTTTTCCCTGATGCTTTAGCTATTATTAAGATTCTAGGATATTCTAAACTTGATTCCCTGGAAGCTAAAGGAAATCACCTTGCTGACATTTATGCTAAAAATACTGCCCTAAAAGGTGTCAGTGACAGTCAAACCTATGTCATGGTCCAAAGAGAAGCTTTTCGAGTTGACAACTTAGAAAAACATAACTGGAAATCCAACAATTGCTGGTTTGATAAGGAGAAGACACTGGTTCAGACCAAATAACAATCCAGTCCTAAGAGAAACTCCAAATTCCCACTCCTAACCACATGCGTTGAATCATTGATCTACGGACAAAGTGGTAGCATTCATGCACCAATACTTGTGGGGAAATATTAATAAGGCTGCAAAAAGTGCCTACCTTAGGTGTCCCACCTGTCCAAGTATAACTCAGGGAAGCCTATTCACACTGCCCCTGGACATGTTGTCAAATGGACCATTTGAGGTCTGGCAACTAGACTTCTTACAGCTTCCCCCATTTCATGGATACAAGTATGTTTTAGTCATGTGTTTTCTCACTGGACTGAAGCTTTCCCTTGCAGACAAGCTAATGCATCTGGAGTGGCTAAAATATTGTTAGAGATTATTCCTACTTGGGGAATTCCTCTCAAACTACACAGTGATCGAGGAACCCATTTCACTTGTCAGGTGCTAAAGCAAGTCTGTGCTATTTGGCCACTTCTACATTTTCACTATGCTTACCATCCTCGATCTTCAGGATTGATTCAACGCACTAATGGCATTATTAAGACTCAAGTGGCAAAATGTGTAGAAACTCTTCAAACACCTTGGCCAAAAGCAGAGCCATTAGTCCTTTTAAATCTCAGATCTACCCCTTTGGGACTCACAAGCTTTCACCTTTCAAGATAATTACAGGATGTCCCACGCATTTGGCTCCTGCCTCCTGATCCACTGTTGGTGAAAGGAGACATACTTCAATATTGTAAAGGTTTCACTGCTTCTATTGACAATAATCATGCTTTAGTAGAACAATCATTTCACTGTCCACTCTAGGGAAATGAAAAACTAAAAATTCATACTCTACTACCTGGAGATTTCATTTACTGGGAAAGACACCTCAAAAAACATTCCCTCCAGCCACACTAAAAGGGCTCTTACCACGTACTGTTGACTAACCCCTGTGCCACTAAACTGCAGGGAGTAGACTCCTGGATACACGTCACACCTAAAGGAGGCACCAAACCCTGACTGGAACTGCACATAGTCTGGTGACCTGAAACTAAAGTTGTCAAAACTTAAAGCAGGTGACCTCTCTAAAGAGATGAGTTACCAAATCTTTCTGGTTGTTCAATCTATCAAGAATTTTGATCTATTTAAGATAATAATGGTCTTTGTCTCATTATCTAGTTTGAGCTCCTGGTTTACACCTACCATATAAGCTAGGTGTTTTTTTTTAAGCTCTGCTCCTAATGCCTGTCAACCCTGGATACCAGCTGTTCTTGATCCATACACGCTCCCCTTGATGTTAAGAGATGACACCAGAGGAGGTCCTTCCTGACATTGAGGGACAAAAGCCTGAGGACTGGAAAACCTGAGACCAGAAGACCAGACTGTTGATCAACGATGCTTTCAGAGAAAAGTGCTTGATCAAAAGGGGGAATGATAAAAGCGAACTGGCACTAAGAAAAACTCACCTGGGAGCTCGGAGGTCTATGAATGGAGCTGAGCTTCCTGTTACTTCCTAGTCCTGACTTCCTGTTAAACTTTATGGTTCTAACTTCCTGCGGGGGTGGGGTGGGGGGTGTATATATATAGGGGCCATCTTGGCATAGGGCTGTTTCTGCACATGGCTGGCCAGGCAGCCGGAGGTACGCAGTCCCACACTGCTGTGGTGATTTTGCTTTTTCCTTTTCCTGAATAAACCCTTTTTGGTGGACTACCTGAAAATTTATTTTATCCAGTCGATAATTCTCACCCACAAATTTTTGTCAGCTAGAAGTGGCACCCTGGTTTTCCAGGAAGTCCCTTATGTGAGATAGTTCTAGTTGAAAGGGACAAACTCAAACTTTTCATGTGATGTTACATCAGGCTCAAAGCCCCATCCACAAAAACGGACTTCGTTGTATGTAACCAATGAACTAGCTCTAAAACTACATTGAAAATAAAATCAGTCATTCTTATCAAATGAAGGATGGTCTTCAGTAAAAGTGACTGATCCAATCATCTGAGCTTGATTAAGACGTATGATAAGGTCACTACCTCAGTTGATTTGAAATTCTCAGGTCAAAAGTCACCAAGGACTTTTGCTCTTTGGCTTTCAAAGTGGGACACATCATCAAATGGTCCCATCTTTACAAAATTTATGTTAGAGACAAATGCATTTTTGCCATGCCTCTATCCCTACTTTCAAAGCCTCAGTCTTTGTTTTTATAACAACTTTAGGCTTTTTCCTTCAGAATGTGTTCTCTGATGTCGAATCAGGGATGAGCTCCGACTATATGCCTTCCCACATTTACTACATTCATATGGTTTCTCTGAAGAATGACTCCTCTGGTGCCGGATAAGATCCGAGCCACTGCTAAATGCCTTCCCACACTCACTACATTCATAGGGTTTCTCTCCAGTATGACTTCTTTCATGTAGAATAAGGGACGTGCGTTGACTAAAGGCCTTCCCGCATGTTTTGCATGTATATGGCTTCTCTCCAGTGTAATTCTTTCATGTTGGGCGAGGTGCGCACTCTGACTGAAGGCCTTCCCACACTGATCACATTCATATGGTCTGTCTTCAGTATGGATTCTCTTATGTCGAGTAAGAGATATTCGATGACTGAAGGCTTTCCCACATTCCTCACACTGATAGGGTTTTTCTCCAGTATGAATTCTCTGATGCTCAATCAGAAATGATTGGCGGCCCAAAACTTTACTACATTTATTGCATTTAAAAGGTTTCTCTTCAGAATGAACGTTCTGATGTATTTTAAGGTTGGCAGTTCCAGAAAACATCTTCCCACATTCCTTATATTCAAACAATTTCTTTTTCTTTGTATGAACTTTCTGATGTTGAATAAGGGTTGAATGCCGATTACAGACCTTCTCACATTTATTGCATTTGTATAGTTTCTCTCCATTGTGAATTCTTAGGTGTAGAATAAGGGTTGAAAGCTGCCTGAAGACCTTCTCACATTTGTCACACTTGTAGAGTTTCTCTGAGGTGTGAATTCTCTGATGAAGAATAATGGACGAAATCCTATTAAAGAATTTCCCACATTTTCTGCATTTATAAGGATTCTCTAAATGGTGCCTTTTCTGCTGACTTAAGGCCTTCTGACTTGGATGGGTTTTCTCTTTAGTATGAGTTATTTTATGTAAAACAAGGACTGATTTCTTAGTGAAGCCTCTCTCACATTTATTGCATTCATGTATTTTCTTTCTAGTGTGAATTTTCTTATGGAGTAAAAGGGACGACATTCGAATGAAGACTTTCCCACACCTTCTGCAATGGTAAGCATTCTCAACAAAGTGAATTTTCTGATGTATGCTGAGAGATGAGCATTGATTCAAGGCCTTCTCACAGTCAAAGGTTTCCTGTCCATCATGAATTTTCTCATGTATAACAAGGGTTGTTCTTTGAATGAAGCTTTTCCCACATTTATCACATTCATGGCTTTTCCTTCCATTGTGAATTCTCTGATGAAGAATTAAGGTTGAGACTTGTTTAAAAGCTTTTCTACAATTACTACATTCATAAGGCTTCTCTTCAGTATGAGAGTTCTGATGAAGTCTAAGAGATCAGCTTTGATTAAAGGTTTTCCCACTGTCATTACATTTTAAAGACTTCTTCCTTGAATGCACTTTTTTGGGTTTTATTAGGACTGAATTTTTCTTGCAGCCTCTTTTTCCTGTGGGACCTTTCTGTAGTACAGAAACTGGTTTCTGATATTTGCTTTGCCCAGATTTGTTGCAATGATTTGAAGGTAACTTCTTGGTTTCACATTTAGACCCTGAGTCTGAAAGACATCAACAAAATATTTGTTTTCTTACTTAAAAATTTGTTTTAATCATTTCCTAGGATATAATAAGTGAAAAATTAGTTTGTCAAATTTTACCACAAGAATATCATTTTATAAGTTAAAAACATCTGGAAGTTGTGCATCAAAACAGAAAGTGTTGCTTCTGAAAGAATCACCAGTAATATTTTCCTTCATTGTGAGTTTTGTCATTTTCTGAAATAAACGTATTTCTTATGAATATAAAAATAGTAATTTAAAATGCTAAAAGTAGCTTTTTCCAATACTACAGAGGAATGATGAAAACTGAACATCATTAGAAATTTAAAACTGCTTGAACCACTTTGATATTTTCCCAAAATTGCTGTTAAGAAAAATTAATATTGTGAAAGTTGAATTCCATTAAGCTGATTAAATTTGAGGCCGGGTGGCTTTTAACGAAATACTCATTTTTATTTATTTATTTATTTTTATTATTTTTTTAAAAGATTTTATTGGGGAATCAGGGAAGGGGAACAGACAAGTTGCTGTACTTTTTTTTGTTTGTTCTTCAGTCTAGTTGTGGAGGACGTTGCTTCACTGGCCCATGTTGGTATTGTGATCATTGCGCTCTTCCAGGGTGAGGCAGTCGCTCGCCAGCCATTGGACAGCCACTCACGGCGGCTCGCGGCGGCTCATGCCAGCTGCCAGCCACTCACGGTAGCTTACAGTAGCCCACTGCAGCCCCACTGCAGCCTATGCCATCACCAGCGACTCACGGCAGCCCAACTCAAGGTCAAGCTGTTGTTCACCATCTTAGCTGTAGAGGGCCCTCATGTGAGATCCAAACCGGGGCCCTGTTGCTCAGAGCTGGCACTCCCAACCCAGCTCTTAAGCAATGCGCCACTCGGCCAGCCCTAAATATTCATTTTTGCAAGAACTATTTGGAACTCTCTTTAAAAGAGAAAACCACTAACCTAGAATTCTGTACCCTGTGAAAATATCCTTCAAAAATAAAAGAGGAATAAAAACTTTCTTAGACAAACAAATATCGAGGGAGTTTGTTGCCAGTAGACCTGCCTTACAAGGAATATTAAAAGAGGTGCTTTAGATAGAAGGAAAATATAGACCAGAAACTGGGATCTACATAGAGAAAGGAATAGTGTGTGTGTGTGTGTGTGTGTGTGTGTGTGTGTATGCACACACACATGCACACATGCACGTGCGTGCATGCACGTGTTTATGTATAACTGAAGTAAATGATAGCAGTGATACTGAGGATGGAAGAAAGGAACAGGCATTATTTTGTTATTATAAGGTACTCACACTACCCATGAAGTGTAGTGTTATTTGAAAGTGGACTTGGATTAGTTGTAAATGTATAGTGTAAACTTTAGGGCACCCGCTAAAACAAGTATAACTGATATGCTAAGAAAGACAGAAAATGTGATAATGTCAAATGCTCATTCAAAACCACAAAAGGCAGAAAAAGAATGGAAGTCAAAAATAGGATAAAGGCAACAAATAGAAAATAATAATGAATATGGTTATATATGTTCATTTCTGATATTATATATCAACTACATCAATAGTCACTGTGAATGTAAATGGTCTAAATGCACCAATTCAAAGAAAATTGTCAGAGTGGATCAAAAAACATGACCCACTCCATGTTGTCCATCAGAAACCCACTTTAGATATAAAGGCACATAGAGATTAAAAGTAAATAGATGGAGAAAAATATACCATGTCAACACTAATCAAAAGAAAGCAGTAGTAGCTATATTAATTTTGGACAGAGCAGATTTAACAACAAGGAAAGTTATCATAAAGAGGAGCATTACACAATGAGAAAGGGGTCAATTTTTCAGGAAGAAATCATAATTCATAATGTGTTTGTGCCTAACAACAGAGCATCAGCTAAATGAGACAAAGAATAGCCAGGAGAGCCAGATGAATCCACTATCATAGATGGAGACTTCAACACCCCTCTGTCAGAAATGGACAGACCCAGCGAGGAAAGTGAACAGAGGTGGTCTCAGAGATGTGGGGGTGCAGCTGATGGCTGTTGGTTGGGGGGGGTGGGGATGAGGGAGAGAAGGAG